CCTATGCCCAAAATCCCTAAGACACACCTAACCTTTACTAAGGTCCTATTACCCCCTCGAACTTAGTTTATATATAATTTTCTACCCCTTTTCGGCCTACGTGGCACTATCCTTGAAAAAATTGTCAACACACGCTGGGCCCACAAGATGGTGCCACGTAGGCCGAAATGGGGTAGAAAATTATATATAAAATAAGTTCGGGGGGGTAATAGGACCTTAGTAAAGATTAGGTGTGTCTCAGGGATTTTGGGCATAGACTAGGGGGTACTTATGCATTTTCCCTAGATGATTAGGTGTTGTTCGCGGAGAACCATATCTTTTGTAAGGTTTTCTAATTTTTGGTATACTACTTGAGTACACTCATTGTTTTGTCCCTGCTTCAGTAAATTATTACTTTATATAAAAAAATTGTGTGAGTTTAGTCTGTTCCTTCAATAATCTTCTACTTTTATCTAAAGATGTTCTTTTACTTGATTACAGGAGACTCGATATATATCACTGCTTCAAAATAGTTAAGTATTTGCAAAGCCTGTCTTCCCTTTTTCATTTACTCATTTTTATTTGTAAACTCAAAGTTACAGGCCAGAAGAGGAACTTAATGACGTATATAAGTTGTTGAAATCACAGAACATATCAAACAAAAGGGCTTCAATTCATATACTAAAAATCTAACTAAAAGCTAGCTAACTCTCCTGCTCCCTTTCCCTCTTCCTCCATTGAAGGAGACTTGTGGAGAAAGCGCAGTTAATCAATCAACTTATCAGCCCGGTTCAAAGTCTAGGAGAATATGTTAGCCTCACAAATGAAAGCACAAGTTCCTACAGTGTAAAGTGATAGATCTCCATGAGTCTAACTTAAAACAATAAGCAGCAGACGGAAGACAATCTTAAAATTAATTATGCTGGTTGCATGCCATGAGAAGTCAACAAGAAGTTCAACACCAAAAGGATAAAAAGAATCATAAAATAGGACTTCAAACAGCTAAAAATAGGAAAATCTTCATCCAGCGAATTCAATTACAAAACCACCATAATCCTCAACAAGGACGTACACGAAGTTACCCCTCTAGTTACAGTGTTACACACCTCGTCTAGTTTAAGCAAAAGTTGTGCCGGAAATTAGCATCAGCTAAGTCATTAATTAAAACCACATTCCACTAGTTCCCACTTACAACATCATAAGAAATACATCAACAAACCAACCAAATCACTCAAAAGGTACTCTCCCACATCCCAAAATAACTAAACGAAGGATGCAGTAAGCATTTTTCCCAACAGAGCTTCTCCAAAGTACTAACTTTTATTTTTCTATAAAGACAAGTTCAAAACTTGCTTCTTTTTTATAATGCCAGCTTGCACGCACCTAGATTGATTCCACCGGTACCTGCTACCTCCAACTATCAGCACAGGTACCAAATAACTCACAAGTCCAATACTTTTTTGAAAACATTGCTTGTCAAGTACAATCAGAATGAAGGATTTTTACATTGCGATGATGTTAAGGCAAACCTTCTCAATTGCTTTACTCTTGCAATATCAAAAGCCAAAAATAGAAAAATCAAGCTTGTCCAATACCTTTTCCCCAACAAAATATATAATTTTACAACGAAAAATCTCATAAACAATATGAAACTCTAAACAATTGATTGAAACAATTAAAAAAAGAAGAACGAAGTAAACCTGCTTGTCCATGTCAGAGAAAAGCATGAGAAGATAATCGAGTGCCGACGATGCAATCGAATTACCAGAGAAAACACGATCGGAATCAGAATTAGACCTCGCCGGAGAAAAAGTACGGCGAATCCTCTTCGAAACCGGCGTTGGCGCAGACGACGACGACTGAAAATCCTCAAACAAATTCGATCTCTTCCCGCACACTATAGCAGACATGATGTGCCGGAAAAAAAATCCTCTTTCAGATTTCTCCGATCAAAAGTTCCTCTTTTCCCGTTCCGATCATGCAGATTTATAAATTCAAAAAAAAAACTTAAAAAATAAAAAATTAATTAAAAAATAATATGGTCGAATTGCTAAATTTTCTATGAATCTATAAATAATATTTCGTTAATAAAAAAGAAAAAATATATTTTTTTCTCTTAAATTCTCTCTCTTCACGAGAGAGAGACTCAGCTTCTTCAACTCTGTAAAAATGGAGATTGAACATTTTGAACAATGGTGTAACAGAGGATAAACTGACGGGGAGTTTACGAGTGTTAAACGACGGACTAATAAGAAAATGACAAGTGTCAAAGTGATTATTTTAGGATAAAGTGGATTAAAGTGTAATTTTGTTGATGGGTATGAGGCTGAGAGAATATATGTTATCTCCAGAGTATTTTGGAAATAATTTTTTTACCTTCGAGAGATAGAGGTTAGAGTTGTGTATACTTTACATTCATTGGATCCTATTTTTTAGGATTTTACGGGTATGTTATTGTTGTTATTAGTACCTCACCTTGCATTAAAAGGTTGTTTTTAATAGAGGTTTTAGTTACTCGAAGAAAACATATTAAATTGGGTATGAAAAAGGAAATAAGTCATGCATGTTAAATAATGAAGAAAAAACATTAGCAATAACAAATATTGCGATAATCTTTACAATTTACATTGATTGTGTATCTATGTTAAATCCAATCAATCAAATATAATGATTTAAAGCTAGCAATTTTCATGTAAACATATATATACACACAAACATAGAATATGAACTGTGATTTTATTATTTAGAACAAAAACAGCAAAAAAGAGAAGCCTTATAGACAAATGTAAACTATGGACAAGAAAAATGGACGAATGAAATGGTAATAGGAAGTAATTTCCACTTCGAGCCATTGAGAATGAAATATATTTTATTGGGAGCGTTGTCTTTAGAGAAATGAATTTCATAATGCGCAACTTTGGATCTAATCAGTCATTAGGTGGGAAAAATGAATGAAAATAGGAAGTGATATTGGCGCGGCTCAATCTGAGATCGTTCTTTACGAAAACTAGCATAAATTCGTCTTCGGATTGAACCTCACCAACATCGCTTCTTCCATTTTTACCCCATCAGATTTCTGTTTTGATCACTTTTACTCCAAGGACTTCAATTACACTACAATTAGCAAGAACAAATAAAGACATCTTAATTAGATGACAAATTGGATTAACAGTAGGTAATAACCTTAGAAAATTGTTTAATAAGAAAAAAAAAACTCTCCCTTTATTCAAGATTTTATTAAAGGAGGACAATTCAAACTAGGATTTTAATTTTTCAGAGATAACAAATGAATCGAATTCAAATAGAACCTCGAGAGGCTAGTCAAAAAAGTATCGCGCTATATAGAGAGTGAACATCTATATATGAAGAGAAAAGAGAAAAGAGGATATATAAGAGGGAACTCAATAACATGCATGACTATTTGAGTTCTAAAACTATGGATAACTAATAAAACTTCAAGTCCATATATATATAAAGATGGAAAAGAGAAAGAATGATGACAATGAAGGAGGATGTATAAAGTGTAGGGTTTTAATAGTTGCCTTGGGATGAGAATTAAGGAGAAGAAAGAATGTGAGGGAAATGATGTCAATTAGGTAGCAACTTGCTTTACTATTCTCATGCTTATTTAATTTAGATCTTATTTAATTAAATATTTTTTCTATGACATTTGATCAAGAGGGAAGTTTCTTGAAATTTATATCAATATAAGACAAGTGATAAATATTGATATGAGCACTATAGATAATATATGATAAAAGTAAGTTAGAATTTAAATTGTGTTTCTATACATATAAATATGATATCTTTATGTGAATATTTATTGGATATACTAAAGAGAAAAGACGATCACATAAAATAAAATATTTACTATAGAAAGAGTAGAAGAAAAAGAAAATCATGAATTTAAGTTATAATACACCATTAATCTATCATTGTAAGAAAGTTTTACACGATATATTATTTTTTATAGTATGTAACATACACTAAAAGAATTACAAGAATTAGTTATGAATTTTATGCTAATCTATCGCTATATTACACATTGTGAACATAATTTTTTTTTACTATCCATCACCAAATAGAATTAGCGAAAAACTTTATTGTTTAATATCCTTTAAGTAAATGATTTTATTAATATAATAAAACAATTTATACAAGTTAAAACTCAAAACTCACACATGCAAAAAAAAAATGTGTCTTTTTTGGCATGCACCTGAAATATTCTCTTAACAAATTAAACAAATACAAAAGAGACCCCCTTTTTATTGTAAAGTGTAATATGTAAATTAAATTTCCCCTCTTTCTGACTGTTATTCTTCTAATAATAATCACACTTTCAGATCACGCTTCATGTCATTAATCATATGATCAGAGAATGAAAATAGTTATGTTGGCTTATCTAATTAATTAATTACCTTTTAAAATACTAAACAGTTATCTAATGTTTTTAATTTCATGCATGATTAATCAGACTAAACTAACATGGCCTTCAAATTTCTGTCTTAGGGAGTAGAAAAAGATCTGGTGGAAGCGTCGCTTTTAAAAATGAGCCGTGTGAAGTGTGAATATGAATTTAGTTGGATCTCAATGTCTTTAATTTTATACTTTAAGTCAGTAAAAGTACTTTTTTTTGTTTTGATTTATGTGAAACTTTTCGCTTTTCATGAATGATTATTGAAGTTATCGATTGAAATATATAGGAGTATTGTAATGTAGTATGTTGCTTTCGAAAATCGACTGACTCAATTGGTTGATTGGTTAATTAGTCGAGAGAGTGATCGATTTTGTAGTCGGTATTTTGAATTTCGATTGGTAGGCATTGATAATTGATCGATGAAAAATATCTCTTTGACTTAGTTAAGGAAGAATTGGTTCTCTTTGCGTTTTATTGTGCACTAGAAACGACATGCCAATCGAAGAGTCTCATCTCTCTGAGTCTAGCTATCGCATAAAGGCTCGCTAGTATAGAGCTATGCTGCTCTAAGTCTCACATAGCTAACATTATCACGACGCTCTGTTATGATACACTGACATGACTTACAAATAGCACTGACGCTATATAATTATATAAGCAATGGTCTGGACCACAAAAATAATCGATTTAGTCATATAAAGCTAGTGCACACCTAAACAATGGCTATTTATGAAAGATAATTTGTAAAAAAAAATCGATACTACGATAGTGTAGTTGCATCAATTGAACTCTTATATGTTTTAATTAGTAATATATAGAGTTTGTTATATA